GTGTTTGTGTGGGTTCTCTCTGGGTACTCTGGCTTCCTCCCACAGTCCAAAGACATGCTGTTAGTGGGGTTAGGTTAATTGGAAACTCTAAATTTCCCATAGTGAGTGATTGTGAGTGCGAATGGTTGTTTGTGTCTATGATTAGCCCTGCGACAGACTGCCGACCTGGCCTGGGTGTACCCTGCCTCTCGCCCTCAGACAGCTGGGATAGGCTCCAGCACCCCCCGTGACCCTGAAAAGGATAAGCGGAAGCGAATGGGTGGATGGATGCATGCAATCCCTGTCTACAATGACAAGGTTAGGTCTTTACACAACTTATTGTTGGATTAAGAGATGAGGTAAGGACTTCAAAGACTGCAATGATCCATTAGTTGTTTCAGTCACCATCTTTTCAGTTTTTCATGTTTAACATTGAAAATGTATGTATTTTCTCTTTGCATTAAAGCGCTGTAACATGTACAAGATGCTACACAAGTGACAGTTCTTGTATATCTTTATTTTGTTTTAGTATATTTTTCCAAGTACACAGTCTGGTGTCATTAGTTCACTTTTTAAAAATGCCTAGTTTTTATTTTTATGTCAGTCAAATAAAATCATACTCAGGTTTTAGTTTTGAAAACGTGACAATTGTGACAATATACAGATATTTTTGGATTGGTCTATATATAAAGCAGTGTATTCACGAGTATTCACAAGTGTATTTTCAAGTAGTGATTAAAAAATAAACAGATGATTAAACTTACCCATAATCCCTGTTTTTTAAACCACCCCGGGGGTCTCGGCTGTGAGCAGAGCTGATCGTTGACGGGACAAACCAGCTGATCCTTGTATCTGTACAGCATTTTTAGTCTTCAACTCGCCTCAACTCACAGTTTCCATAGTAATGGGCTGGGAGGAATTGAAGACTGAAAATGACATACAGGACATTTGGTTTCATTCTCTCCCACTGGCTCCCTCCCAGGGGAAGTTGAAGTTGATGACGTGTCAGCTAAAATGTCCCTGTAAGGTCAGTTAGCTGTGGCGGTGGCCTCAGCATCTGATGTAACATGTAAGGAGAAGCATGCAGTATCTCCAGATGACAGCAGCATATTGAGTTTGTATGCTTTTTCAGTAGATTTCCAACTCCACAGTAAAATAAGTCTTGGCAGTAACACAGTAACTTTCCAGTAAGGAAAGTTTAAGCCTGAGAAAAAGTATTGCACTTTGAAAGGCTCTCCAATATACTGCACTGCATATAATTCTTTGTATAGTACATCTCAGGATCTACTGCACATAGATATCCTGAGAGGGCTAAAGCCTTACATAGCATAATGCTTTTCATTGAGCTTTACTTAATAGACCAGAATGAGATGATAAAGATTAGAAAGAAAAAGAAGTTTTATCAGTCTGCTTCAGTGAGACAGTCTCGCTTATCTTCTCCTATTTATGCTCACGATGATGAACTATGTTTCAGAAACGAACAAAACATCTTAAATCTTGAGTTTAAATGTATTGTTTGCACAGAGAGCTTGAGTTGAGAGAGAACCCTGATAAGGAAGGTGGAGAATAAAGTAAACTTGAAATTTAGAGTTAACTTTGGGAGCACAGTAAAAATATAACTAATGTGAGGTGAATAAAAAAACGAGGCATTCTGGCGTATCTATTCGTGTGGATGTTACTTTGACATGACCGCTCACCTAACGGGGGAAATTAGGGAGAGACCACAAATGCAAAAATGCACCAGTGATTGTGGAAAGTATTGTTCCATAGCTGGTAGTTTGTTGTAGTTTGCCTCTGTACACCACCACAGTGGATTGTCAAACAATCCAAATGTTCTTTGGTAAGAAGACTGCCAGGTTTAACTCTAAAACTACAAAAATGTTAGTCTTTTAAAAATATAGCTAGTAATTAATTATTTGATTTAAAACCCCCTGTACTGGTATGCAGAGCCAAAACTACAAAAAGTGTATCTCTGTCCAACTATTTATGGAACTAACCCTGCCATTAATGTACACATTAAAACAGCTCTGTCAGAATCAGCTAATTTCAGTATTGACTCATGTAATCTACCAAGAGCAACACAAATAAATCTGTCAGTGTGCAATTTATTAAAATGAGGTAAAACTAAATTGTTATTTAGATTAACCAACACTATGAACAAGTGAGCCATCGCGATGCTTTGGAACGTCTCTATAGCTCTATGCCTCAACCATTTATACAACCAATGAATTAAACATTTAAAACTTGAGTGCGATTTTAGCACAAACAATAGAAAACACCAGCAAACAATGTCAAGCCAAGCACCCAGAAATGATCAGCTGACAAAAACATCCCCACCAGTCACATTTGTCGGGGTAAACTGTGTCAGTATTGGTTCCTACTGGTCAAAAAGTTTCACTTAAGGAAGGAGAATCTAAGATCCAGTTCAACTATTGCACTGGGCTCTGAGCTCGGTCATGCCCGGGATGACACTGCTCAATAAAAAAGTAGTACTGCATCACTCAACAACAGTGTTGGTCAAGTTACTTGAAAAAAGTAATCAGTAACTAATTACTGATTACTTCCCCAAAAAAGTAATCCCGTTACTTTACTGATTACTTATTTTCAAAAGTAATTAATTACTTAGTTACTTTTTAAAAACACGATTTACAACCTGAAGAGGTGATAAAGCGATAGATCTTTCAGCCCAATTCTACTTTTTCTACATAATCCATCATACAAAATGTAATCAAATGGAAAAGTCTCCTTTTTTAAAACTTGTTTTATTAGTTTTAATCTTTTAACTTTATGCATCAAGCAAAAATGTAATTATATGCAACATTCTGACTTGAATAAATTAGTTTAACATTTAAAGCTATTTTCTGCACATTCCAGCACATAAAATAAAATATTTTTTGTGTTTACACTCACTCTTTCAAATAGATGCAAGTAAAACACAGCAGAAAATAAATAAAGTCAAAGACTCAGCGGTCCTGTTGCTCTATTTTCACCTGTAAAGCAGGACTGCGGTAGGCGGAGGTTTACCCTGGTGCAGGTGTGCCGCGGTCAGTTGAAGAATCCGCGACTTTCTCTGTGAGTTTCCCATTACGTCATGGCGCACTCGGTGCTTGCTTGGAAGTTTAAGGGTTTTTTTTTTCGCTGTAAAAAGAAGTTTTCTTCCCACGCACAACGGCCGCTAATGTTTTTGTCACTTTTTATGGAATCAAACTCAAAGTAAGGTCAGTACTTCCACGCTTTAAACGCTGCACGCTCATACTCTCTTCCACAATCGATATGTGATCCATTGTTGATCTGCACACAGCTGTTGTCACTAATGGCGCACTCGCTTACGTCACTGTCGTGAGACATTCTCGCAAAAAATCAGGGTTTTAGTAACGCAGTAACGCAGCGTTCCTACAGGAAAGTAACGGTAATCTAATTACCGTTTTTGCAATAGTAATCCCTTACTTTACTCGTTACTTGAAAAAAGTAATCAGATTACAGTAACACGCCCATCTCTGCTCAACAATAACATAGCTGTTTACTGTTGGTCTGTGGGTTTAATTAAACAACACAAAACAACAACAGCTGCATGACAAATGTGAAAGTACTTTTAAGGTTTACTTTGATTATTTATTTGGATGCAAACTTCTTTGTGTGCCATAGTATTTAATCATTGAATATATACAGCTAGTTTATAATCAGAAGAGATTCTCTGACACGTTGGGCCACTGACACACGGAAAACAAACATTTCTGATCTTTGATTCTCTTCTCAGTCCTCAGTGTCTTCTGTCTTTCATCCTTTCCCCCTATGTCTTTGGTCCTCCAGTCAAAAAAGTACGAGCAGAGCCCACGCTGACGTCGGCAAAGTTTCTGTTTTCCTGTTAGTTCCTGACAGATGAATAGTTATGAGTTTTGCTCTCCTGCTTCCACTTAAATTTGGCAAATGTACTGTATGTGACCACAACTGTAACGGTCCTGAATGCTTCTCAGCCAGTTTTTCTACTCTCAGTAATCGGATCCTAAATAAAACAAAATAAAATAAAAACAAACACATTTAGGTTAGAATATATTTCCCAATTTTCTTTTGTTCTTTGGAGTGATGCCATTAGAACTAAGTGATTTTCTATAATTTCACACACCACTGATCGCTGACAGTTTATTTATTGTTTTGGTCAAAACAAAATTTTTCATATTGCATCAAAAAGTTGACAAAATCACACCAGAACAATCACACTGAAGCAGACCAGCTCAGGTATTAACTGTTTAAAAATGTTATTTTGTTGGGTAGTCTCCATGCATTATGTACTTGTTGCTTTGCAAAAAGTAAGCCGGGATAGAAGAGGTTACAGCCGATTGGAACTTTAGCGCAGCACAAATGGAAAACACAGTAAAAGGAAATGAGCTATGAGGGTCATATGACACACTGTAGGCTCCTGAGGTGAGCTTTATTAATTCTTCTCACGGGCAACTTAACAGTAATTAAAGTATAAAAGCAAATAAGACCAAGACAGCAAGCTCCAAATAATTGCTCCCAGTTAACACCCAAAGGGTCTCATCATATTGCCTGACGTGAGCGTGGGCCAAGATTAAATGAGATCTTTTACAATTTTAATGACGAACACCTGATAAAACGGGTACTTGCACGACACTGCAAATACCCCCCTCTGACGTGACAAACAGACATGTAAGCACTCGGTTTTCATTAGCTCATCACAACGTCTATTATTTATTTAGACGTTATTTATTTAGACGAACAAGCCGAGTTGGCAGAGTTCGTCAAATATGTTTTTTAAAAAAAGGTAGATTCAAAGACCTTCTTATTCACCATGCACACACAAGTACATAATTTAGTTTATTCAGTGTCAAGAAGCCACTGACTCACCTGACAGGAATAGAAAACAAGGAGTAATTTCTATTATTTTAATCCACCTTGAAATAATCATTCGCCTCAGTGGGCAGGGAGACCTCCGGCTGCCACTTTTTGACAGCGAAATAGAAAAAGGTACTGACCCCAGCCTCAGCCCTCCCTCCTCTTACCTGTTTATTCATGAAGACGTAGATGACTGGGTTGATGACCGTGCTCGTTTTGGCAAGGACTGAGGGGATGATGCTCGCCTCCGGTGTGACCAGGCCCGGTGGGCCGAAGGTGGCCAGTAGGGCCATGATGCCATAAGGCAGCCAGCATATTAGGTAGCACATCACCATAATCACCACCATGAATAGCACGCGCTGCTCACGTTTCCTGCTCATCGACGCATTGATCCCGCTTACCTGGAGACAATGGGAGAAAAGACGTGGAAAAGAAAGACCTTAATAAGCTGGCGATTTCCTGTGATGAGACATTGTGGTCGGACATTTTCCCTCCTTTTGCTGTTGGAAGAGGAGGATTCTGGGGGATAAAATGTTCACTATATAGTCAATACATCTACTTCTGGGTTTCATTTTTGTAACATAAGCCTACATTCCCATCTGTAATAACATTACACTCAGCAAGTTAAAGCAATTGATTGACATTTTGGGAAAATTAACTTACCAGTGTCTTTACGTAGAGTTAAATTAGAAGGTCAGTACTATTCTTAGGCCTCTTTGTTAATATAATTATAGCCAGCAGTCCCTGAGATAAGTTTAACTGAACTTATGTAGCATAGAGTCCCTTTGCTGGGAGCTGCACAGTTGTCTGCTTAATAATAAACCAAGTGCATCATTCTTATACGTGAGCATAAGAAGTTCTGGGAGGCATATTCTGTTTTTTCTTTGGACTGCCTTGGTTTGTATCCTGGGGATAGTCTGAGTTTCTGCAAAAGGTCAATCAGCACATGTCCCAAAAATGTCAAATTGTAATATGTAAACACTACTAAAACTGACAGATAACTTTGAGTTAATTAGTAATTTCTGTGCAAAGATAAATGAAAGTGTTGACTACATTTACGACTACATCTTTATGACCTGATGAAAGTCTTTGATAGAAATCTTGCATATTTCTCAGATTTCAGAAAGTTCATTGGTGAGACATTAACTGAAAATTATAAAAATAAATAAATGAAATACAAAGAAGAATCAAGTTTGAATAAACTGAAGTTTTTTGTTTGTTAAAATATCAAAGTATCGGGTTGAATCTAGCAAGTATAATGCATCCTCCCGCACGGACATGCGCGCACTTGACAAGCATCTTCGCGCTCCCCAAACCCAAACTGTCGAGATTTGTTTTGCTACCCGATGGCCACATGTCTGCTGCTGTCACTCAGTTTCATGGCGGCGGAGACGCACTCTGGCAGGGAGCCTCTTTTAAGAAAGACTCCAGCAGTGTTGGGATTTTTTGTTTTGTTTTTACACACATACACACACTAGTGAAAAGAAAAAGATGATGTAAACATTCAAAACTTCCTGACCCCAGTGATCAGTCATCGTCGCCATTGTGACATCTGATCACTCTAATATCCTTTAACCCTCACTCCAGATTTGCAGCTATATTATTTTACTATGAATTTCATTGCTGCTGATTCTCAGTGTTTTATTCTTGGTGTACGGCCTGAACATGTTTATGTATGCTGTGAGGGTTTAAACAATATGGCGAAGCATGATTAGCATTATTCAGGCAGGCTGTCAACTCACAGTCTCGTGGACTCCCTGGGCCGCCGCTCATATGCCATTTGTATTCATATATACACATCAGTATAGAAGTACAGTATGCTTTCACCAGACAGGTGTGCTTATACATCTAATCAAGCCAAGCCAGTGACTGACAGTCTCGTTACCTTTACCCCCACGAGACGGCTGCAAATGTGCAAAGGGGAACTGTGTTCACACAAGCCTGTTTGGACCGTCTTCATCGAAAACACAATTTCCCTGAAAGAAAGGCTTTGTAATTCGTGAAACAATGGGTCGATAGTTTTAAGAAGGGAAAACAAGCTGGAAAACAAACGAGCTGGCCCCAGGGAGGGGTCACTTGCCCCTCCCTTCCTTCCCTCCCCATCTCCAGCTGCCTCCCTCTTCCCGCTCCACCACAACCACCCACACATGCAGGACCTTGGAGTAGGGGTATGTCACC